TGGTCTATGATGATAGTGGAGGGATGCTGGGACTTGTAGTCTCTCATGATATCAGTGGAGAATGCTGGGGTTTGTAGTTCCCCATGATATCAGTGTAGGGATGCTGGGACTTGTAGTCTCTCATGATATCAGTGGAGGATGCTGGGACTTGTAGTTCCCCATGCTATTAGTGGAGGTATGTTGTACACAGGGATATACAGAATGATACAGACTCTCCTCCCCTGTATACAGTAGACATCATCCATTTATACATGATCTATATGGGGCGTACACAATATACAGACTTCTGGTCTATGATGATAGTGGAGGGATGCTGGGACTTGTAGTCTCTCATGATATCAGTGGAGAATGCTGGGGTTTGTAGTTCCCCATGATATCAGTGTAGGGATGCTGGGACTTGTAGTCTCTCATGATATCAGTGGAGGATGCTGGGACTTGTAGTTCCCCATGCTATTAGTGGAGGTATGTTGTACACAGGGATATACAGAATGATACAGACTCTCCTCCCCTGTATACAGTAGACATCATCCATTTATACATGATCTATATGGGGCGTACACAATATACAGACTTCAGGACTATTGGGAAATTAGAGTTCTGTGAGCAGTGAGCGGAGTTCCCATTTTTTGCCGGCTCTCAGAATATGGAACTCCACTTTGTTTAGAGAAGTCAGAAGAATGATTGGTGGAGTCTCACCTTGTTAGATCTTCCCATACATCCTCCAATCAGATTGCTTGTACTTCCCCACAATATTTATAAAAAATTATGAAAATATTTCTAGAAAGGTAAAGAATCCAATCAGAGAAGATTCTGGAAGATGAAACCTGGAACCATGGCACTGGGAGCATCCAATTTCTTATCGTATGAAGACCAGAAGTGAGAAAAGATGTTTTTCTGCCTCGCCCACAAGGATATTGTTCCAGAATGTAAGGGGAGGGGAAGGAGGTTTCTATAATACACCTCCACCTGCAGAGACTAGTTGGCTACATCCAAGTCTTCTCTCCTGTATAATGAGATGAACAAGTCTCACCTTAAGGCTGAGTGTATGCGTAGAGGGAAGATGATTGAACGACTTCCCAGGAGGAGAGACCATTCCAACCTTCCTTCTAGACTCCACTCAATGCCAACCTGCCCCTCCTACACTCGGCAACACCGTCCTTGTATTATAGGAGGGAGGAATGGACTCCGGAACATGATTGAATGACTTCCCAGGAGGAGAGACCATTCCAACCTTCCTTCTAGACTCCACTCAATGCCAACCTGCCCCTCCTACACTCGGCAACACCCGTTCTTGTATTATAGGAGGAATGGACTCCAGAGAGACCATTCCAACCTTCCTTCTGGACTCCACTCAATGCCAGCCTGCCCCTCCTACACTCGGCAACACCCGTCCTTGTATTATAGGAGGAATAGACTCTGGAGAGACCATTCCAACCTTCCTTCTAGACTCCACTCAATGCCAACCTGCCCCTCCTACACTCAGCAACACCCGTCCTTGTATTATAGGAGGAATAGACTCCAGAGAGACCAATCCAACCTTCCTTCTAGACTCCACTCAATGCCAGCCTGCCCCTCCTACACTCAGCAACACCCGTCCTTGTATTATAGGAGGAATAGACTCCGGAGAGACCATTCCAACCTTCCTTCTAGACTCCACTCAATGCCAGCCTGCCCCTCCTACACTCAGCAACACCCGTCCTTGTATAATAGGAGGAATAGACTCCGGAGAGACCATTCCAACCTTCCTTCTAGACTCCAGTCAATGCCAGCCTGCCCCTCCTACACTCGGCAACACCCGTCCTTGTATTATAGAGGAATGGACTCCGGAGAGACCATTCCAACCTTCCTTCTAGACTCCACTCAATGCCAACCTGCCCCACCTACACACGGCAACACCCGTCCTTGTATTATAGGAGGAATGGACTCCAGAGAGACCAATTCCAACCTTCCTTCTAGACTCCACTCAATGCCAGCCTGCCCCTCCTACACTCGGCAACACCCGTCCTTGTATTATAGGAGGAATGGACTCCGGAGAGACCATTCCAACCTTCCTTCTAGACTCCACTTAATGCCAACCTGCCCCTCCTACACTCGGCAACACCCGTCCTTGTATTATAGGAGGATAGACTCCGGACAGACCATTCAACCTTCCTTCTAGTAACTCCACTTAATGCCAACCTGCCCCTCCTACACTCGGCAACACCCGTCCTTGTATTATAGGAGGAATGGACTCCAGAGAGACCAATCCAACCTTCCTTCTAGACTCCACTCAATGCCAGCCTGCCCCTCCTACACTCGGCAAACACCCGTCCTTGTATTATAGGAGGAATGGACTCCGGAGAGAAATTCCAACCTTCCTTCTAGACTCCACTTAATGAAAAAGGGGTGCCCCTCCTACACAGCATGCAACACCCGTCCTTGTATTATAGGAGGAATGGACTGGAGTGACCGAATCTGTCCAATATAAAGTGTTAGTAAGTAGTGGTGAGCCAGACCATCTGGCTTCTGTTTGACAACCGCTTAGGGACTGCCCAAGTACATCTTCAAAGTTCAGATTAATCTAAGCCCCATGGAAATAAGCAGGAGCTGAATCTGGCAAAATAAAAAATAATGGCCATTTGGGTAAAGAAAAAGGGGTGTCAAAAAACAGCATGCCCAATTCTTTTCTATAACATGCCTGGGGTGTTTTAATAATGCCTGTCATTGATTGCATCCCATCTGTGATGTTCAGAAAGTGCTGCAGCAGGACTAACATTTACAAAGGAAGAACAGTTTAACCCTTAGGGACTGCCCACAGTACATTTATTGCTGGGGGCAGCCCCTGTGAGCAGCATTGTTTACCAACAGCCCTCCTCCCTGTCAGTTTGGGCACACTGCTTGGGATGGCTGAGCACAGCCATCCCAATCAGTGTGCTTACAGTGAAGCACACACCCCTGCCTCCTAGTAAAACACTCTCATCACACAGTTAAACCCACCCCCACAATGCACAGTTAACCCCCCAAATGTTAACCCCTTCCTCCCCAGTGCCATTAGTACAGTGTCAGTGCTTTTTTTTAGACTGATCACTGTATTGGTGTCACTGGGGATGTCCCTCCCAGTATCAGAATGTCTGCCGCAGTCCTGCTTTAATTCGCTGATCGCCGCCATTATCAGTATAAAAAAAAAAAAATCCCAGTATCTACAACCACCATTTGTAAATGCTATAACTGTCATGCAAACCAATTAATTTACACGTATTGGATTTTTTTTTAGCAAAGACACGGAGCAGAATATATTGTGGCCTAAACTTATGACAAAATTAGATTTTAAAATTTTTTTACTGAACATGTTTAATGACAAAAAGTCCAATATATTGTTTTTTTTTCTTATAATTTGTTGGTCTTTTTTTTTATTGCGCAAAAAAATAAAAAAAACACACAGGCAAAAGAAAGCTCAATTCGTGGGAAAAAAGGATATAAATTTAATTTTGGTGCAGTGTTGCACGACCGCACAATTGTCAGTTAAAGTAACGCAGTGCCGTAAAGCAAACCGCTTCTGACCGCCCTATAGCAGAAATCATGTATATATATGTGATTTGCGCTCCTGTGGTTTTCACGCCCCTCCAGATGGCATCAGATTGCCTGTCAGTACACCAGTCATCACATTTAACCCCCTGCTTGCCAGGAAACCGCTCCATACACATTAAACCTCCATTGCTAGTATAGTGTCTGAACGGGTCAATATCTTTGATCAGGTCAGCCCTATACCAGCGTTCACATTAGTATAGTGTCCCAAAAAGCACAGCGTTAGTGGGATCAGCCCCGGCACCTGCCAGCACCTGCGTTTAGCCCCTACACTTACCCCCCCTTCTCTCCCAGCAAGTGCAGTGTCAGTAGGTCACTGTCACTTGATAGATTGCATACAAAACCGCAGTGTTCCCATAATCAGGCCTGATCTCTACTAGCACTTGCTGGTAAATTTTGATGACTCTCATATGCAGCAGAGTGCCAGTACTAGTGCCACGCTACCTTTTGGTGTAATGGCGAAGTACCAGCGGCCTAGTACATCCTAGTCTTTTACATAGCAGCACTGCAGTATGACTTGGTGACGTGGCGAGTCCCATAAGTGCAGTACAAGCTAGTGCGGTGAGCGTAGCAACCACAAGTATTGTCCCGCAACCACCAAGAAATTGCACACAGGCCATAGAGCCCCTAGTATCCTTCCAGATGTGCTTGCAAATCCCGATTGACAGCCCACAAATTCCACAGCACCCGTACTTCCCCCATTCACTGCCCAACCCGGAATTCAGGTGAAAACAGCAAATTTAACTCCTTCCCTTGATTTTTTGGAGCTGTTTTTCACTGAATATCTATATGCATTGATTGCGGATCAAAGCAATTTATATGCACAACAATTTATCGCCACCAACCCAAATTCAAATCTTTTCAGACCATCACATGGAAACCCATTACAGTTTCCAAATTTTAATTTTTTGGGGGCCTAACCCTCAACATGGGCATTACTAAAAAAATTAATTGTGGTTGTATTGGTCCACAGACCCAATTTATCATATAAAAATGACATAAATTCAAATAAAGTAAAGACCCAACCACCACAAACAAAGAATGGCAAAAGAGAGCTGGGATGTCCAGCAACATTCATCTAGAAGACATTTCCTGCACTCAAGGCACTAATACACCTCCAGGGTTGTGTGGGACCCCTGATGTACAGGAAGATAGGACTTCAGTGAGGAACATTTCCCTCACTCAGGACAGGAATATGGATTCACCCCGTATGAGATCTCTGATGGTGTATGAAAAACAACGGACTTCCACGCAAAACATTTTCAGCACTCAGGACAGGAATATGGCTTCTCCCCCATGTGAGACCCTCTGATGTCTGTAAAGACTGGACTTCACTAAAAAACATTTCCCGCACTCAGGACAGGAATACGGCTTCTCCCGTGTGAGATCTTTCATGCACATTAAGCTTTGATTTATGACGGAAACCCTTCCCACACTCAGGACAGCAATGTGACTTCTCCCCTGTGTGAGATTTCTGATGTCTGTAAAGATTGTACTTCACTGAAAAACATTCCCGCACTCAGGACAGGAATATGGCTTTCTCCCCCTGTGTGAGATCTCTGATGTCTGTAAAGAGTGATGGACATCTGTGAAAAACATTTCCCACACTCAGGACAGGAATACGGCTTCTCCCCCTTGTGAGATTTCTGATGTTTATTAAGAATGGACTTCCGCGCAAAAAATTTTTTCCCGCACTCAGGACAGGAATATGGCTTCTCCCCTGTGTGTAGATCTCTGATGTCTTAAAGATGTGGACATCTGTGAAAAAACATTTTCCTGCACTCAGGACAGGAATATGGCCGTCTCACCTGTATGAGATCTCTGAGTGTGTGAAGAAGGACTTCAATGTAAAAAAACATTTCCCACACTCAGGACAGGAATATGGCTCTCACCTGTGTTGAGATCTCTGATGTGTGTAAAGATGGGACTTTACTGAAAAAGCATTTCCTGCACTCAGGGACAGAATACTGCTTCTCCCCTCGTGTGATGAGATCTCTGATGACTATGAAGTTTGGACTTCTCTGAAAAACATTTCCCACACTCAAGACACAGAAAAATAGCTTCTCCCCCGTGTGAGATCTCTGATGTCTGTAAAGACTGGACTTCACAGGAAAAAGATTTCCCACACTCCAGGACAGAGGATACGGCTTCCTCCCCCATGTGAGATCTTTGAATGTGTGTAAAGATTGGACTTCACTGAAAAAACATTTCCCGCACTCAGACAGGATTTACGGCTTCTCCCCAACGTGTGAGATCTTTTCATGCACATTTAAGATGGGATTTATGACAGTAAACCCCTTCCCACACTCAGAACAGGAAACTGTGGACTTCTCCCCGTGTGAGATATCTGATGTCCTGTAAAAGATCTGGTAACTTCCCTTGTTGAAAAACATTTCCCGCACTCAGGACAGGGACATACGGTTTCTACCACATGTGAGATATTTATGCTAGATTATGACCGAATTTAGAACAGAACTTCTTCCCGTCACTCAGATATACAGGAGAAGCTCTTCCCTGTTGTAAGGACGGCCCGGGTCACGCACAGTCTTGAGGCTTCCTCAAGGAATACAAGGATATCCTGATGGTCCATGTACACTGGGTGGTGCCCGGATGGACATTAGAGAGTGAGCCAGGTGTTTTCTCCTGGACTAATACTGTGTGATGTCCTCATCTATCTGACTTTCCATCAAGGGTCTGGAGACAAAGTGATGGGGGGGAACCAATCCTCTGGAGGTTTTCCTCATCTCTCAGCCATTGACTAAAATACAAAGACAAAGGAAGGCAATTACTAGACAGGAGCTGACTTGAGTTCCCCCAAACCATGAACTCCAACCACATCAGGCAGCTTGATCTCTGAGGATCGACTTACAATTCACCCTCAAGGGGAATCTTAGGATAATGCGCATCCTCTGATCTGACCAACCAGGTCATTTCTTTAATTCATGGCGACCTTAGTCCAGTGAGTGGAGCGAAAATACAACCCAGAGACTGCTCTTTTATAGAGAGGACAGTGATGAGGAGATCTACTAGGACGAGGGTCCCCTCCCCCTCTATACAACTCATCGCCATCTTCCCATCTACACAAGAAGTACTCGACACTTCACTAATTTAGTCCATGAATTTAGTTCAGATAAAAGAACAGCGCGTGCCTGAGTCCCACCAAGAGGTCACAGAGAGTGAGGATGATGGGGAGAACAACTCAAGACTGATGACTGGACTGATTCCTGATAGAGCCACCATCATTGGGGTATTGACTCCGCCCTCATTATCACTTCTGCTGTTAAGGGTCTCAAAGTTGAGAGGATGTTATCACACTATTATCATCATGTAAATAGTTCTGGTGCTGTTCCAATAAACACTCCATCGGATATATAAAATGTCCCAGGCTAAGAAATGGCTTTGCGATGTAAAAGAAGTAAAGGCCAATGTAATGCTACAACTTTATTATCTAGGAGACAAAGTGTTTTAGGACTATAATAGTATTCTAGATTGATGCTAAATGTAACAACATAGAGTTATTATAGTGCAGGGTCCAGGACTCATAATATTGTAGTTCAGTAATTCAGTAGCAACATTAAAATGTTATTACTGCAGATCAAGGACAATTTTAGCAGAGAATCCCACACCAGCTGCCTCCCATCTCCGTCGAGACTGCACATCAGTGACTAGGGTCCTTGAAACACTACAGAAAACCCCCAATTTATCCCTGCCACCCAGCACAGCAGCACTGATAATCAGAGAAGGTCCCTCTGGAGGAGTCTCCCCAGGCACAAGGCAGGAGACCCCAGGTCCACATGTCCTGGGTGCGCCTACAATATGCCAATGCTTAGAAGTAAAAGTCAACATTTTTGCTGCCAGGCTGACCCCCCAGTACCTCCATAAATCCAGTGCTAGGATTACATAAATTGTGATCTGCAGCACAGATTAAGGATAGATATCCGACAGGAATGAAATCCAAGGGAAATACAGGAGACGGAAACACAAGGCTAAGGGAAAGTGCTCAGCGGGGATTACCAGGCTGATATCACCCAGTCCCCGCCTACTCTGGACCAATCAGTGAGCAGTATGGGTGGAGGTAATGGATTGTTAGTGTTCATGACCCACCATGCTGTGATCTCTGTAGGTGATGTCCTCCTCTATAAATGTCACCGTTATTCCATCCTCGCTCCATATAGACACTGTCTGATCATCCCTCACATACGCCTCTTCTGCTTTCACCTCAAAATCTATTTTATTCGATTGGAATCTCCACTCTAATTCAACGGAAAATGAGAGGGAAATATATCTGATAAAATGTAAGAGATTTAAGTGACTTGTGACATCACACAAAATATCCACACATTGTCTTCATAGTTCATGTTCTACGATGCTCCAATCCACACCAACACTTTGGTATAGTGCAGGTCAGGGAAGTGTGACCTTCCTGTAGTGGAATCCCTGGTAATACAGAGGATATGAGGACATCCTCTCTGCGTTGGATCCTGTTTAGGGCTGGAAAGTGACTCCACCATGGTGTCATGCCTCCCCCCCCCCCCACCCCCCCCCCCCCCCCCCCCCCCCCCCCCCCCCCCCCCCCCCCCCCCCCCCCCCCGCTACAGATCTATGTGTTTTTTTAGAAGCTTCTGACTCCTCCATCCCCCCATCCTCATCCTCTTTTATCTCTTCTTTAACCCTCAACATTAGGATCTCTCAGGTTACCACTCTGAATAGTATAAATAAAACATGACCTTCATTGGTTATCAATGCAGATAATGGTACAGGATCCTAAATTAAACTACTAACAGTGACTTGTTCCTCATCTAACTTGATGATGGTGTGGGATCGGTGTGACCTTCCTGTTGTAGGAATCGCCAGAATACAAGAGGACTGGGTGTACATTCTCTCTGGTGGGTTCCCATGTACTGGATCCATCTGTAGTGAAACGACACCACACTGACCTGAATCCATTGTTTGCTTATGTGTTTTACTCAGATGATGCGATTGAGGATCTATGGTGGATCCTCCGCGTACTGCATCTTCTCCATGACAATTAAAGTCTCCTCTTTACCCAGCGTGATGTGGAGGTGCGGGCCTGATTGGTACCATCATGATGTCCGGTTGGTTAGTGATCCTTGTGTCGCCCTTCATAAATACTCCCACTCCTCCATAGGATGATAATTAGTCTAGTGACACCCTGACACCTTATAGGAACCTGACCACACACATGATTGCAGTCACCATCCAGGAACCACATCCACTTGTCTGTTACTGGAGAATGCTGCCCAGAGTATTCCCCGGCACCAGCTCAGCCTCTCCTGTCAGCAGCTCTCAGATGAGGCTCGCTCTGCGTGAACTTCTAGAATGCGTCTCTTCTTCTTTCTCTCTTTCTATCAGCGGCAGGCGACGGTGCGCGAAGGCATGTGATGTCTTATGATCTCCTGACTTCATAGGAGGAAAACTTCTACATCTGAACACAAACTAGTCACATCAAATGTTTTTTATATTCCAGAATCCTCCTCACATCTCCATATCAGCGTCCTTCCATATTCATTCAAAGCCCCTACTTTAGAGCTGAGGTATAAGTTCCCCCCCAACAGGACCCCCACAACTTCGCAGATGTATAAGGCTTGTATTGCAGCAGTTCTGATGTCATTACATCAGACCACGCAGGGACCAACAGTCCCACTTTTTACATGTGAGGATTACCAAGAGGACCCCACGCGCGCATTCCGTAAGAGCATTCAAGAAAAAATCAAGATGAGGGGATCATGGTGAGGAGGAGCTGTGAGGTCATGTGGTTGTCATAGGATTCTCTGAGTCGTGAGAATGGAGGGAAATTGGCGAGGAGGCAGAACTGTGATGTCTGTGTGATGTCATAGGATTCTCTGACATCTGAATGCGCAATGAAGAGACACGTTGGGAAGGAGGAGCTGTGAGGTCAGTGTGATGTCATTTAGGAGTTCTCTGACTCTGGAATGAGATAGAACCATTGAGGCAAGGAGGACGCTGTGAGGTCAGTGTGATGTCATAGGATTTCTCGTGACTCTGGATGGTGGGACTTTGGGAGGAGAGACCGTCCCGAGGTCATGAGTGATGCCATAGGATTCTCCCTAACTCTGGATGGAGGGACATTGCGGAAGGCAGGGCGGGCTGTGAGGTCAGTGTGATGATCATAGGATTCTCTTAGACTCCGGATGGAGGGGACATTGGGAGGAGGGAGCTGTGGTGGGCACTTTGTGAGGTTACTGTACATTGCTCCCTGAGTGCATCCACTTCTTCCACGAACATGAAGGGATGACCTTGTATCTGTCTGGGCTTTGCTAGGACTTCGCATATTTCTCAGATCTCCGTGATCTCCCGGAGAACTTTATCTGATCACATTTAGGATAACAGATCTAGAGACTGGGATCATTATGGAGAAATATGCTTTCAGGACAATATTATTATTATTAATACAGGGATTTACTGGCAAGCCAACAGTTTGCCTCAGCACTTTAAAATATAATGGGAGACAAATACAGATCAATACAGTCCAATACAAGAGAGATAGGAGGGGCCCTGCATACTTGGAGCATACAATCTAAGGAGGGAGGGGCTAGTGGTACATAAAGGTTTAGTAACTGTGGGGGATGGAACTGGTAGTAGCAATAGAAGATTCCATTATTAGTGAGTGCAGGATAGGCTTCCTGAAAGAGATAGGTTTTCCAGAGATCACGCTAAAAGTGCTAGTGGAGTAGGCGATAGGTCCCTGATAAAATGAGGTAGAGAGTTCCAGAGATGGGAGGAGTCGGGAAGCTCTGGAGAAGTCTGGAGCTGAGCATATTCTTGGGAGGAGGATGGACAAAGGGCGACTAGAGAGCAGTAGAGCGATCGTGCATTGTGATCTTTCCCCCGAGTATCTGTGCGAAGAAGCGGATACGATGGACGGTTTGGGTGCACATTTGGAGACAAAGATTGCGGATAGTAAATTTGGGGCAGAGTTATAAAACTGGCTTTATATGTTATTGTTTAGTGTTTTGAACTATTATCCGTTGGGCTAAGTGGAAGCCAGTGGAACGGGCATTAGCAGTTGAGGGGTGGAGGACCATGAATGGAGGACTGTGGAGTGAGATTGCGCATGAGTGGGGTGGAGGCTCACTGAATAGGAGGCCAGTGAGAGTGGAATGGCAGAGAGGGATCGCAGAGATACAGAACGGTTTAGTAAGGTGGATGAGTCTGCTGCAGTGTTC